TAAGCACTAGATTAGGCGTGCTTTCATAGTCTTTCCCTCTCCCACAAAACTCTTCGCACAGATATTTGGTACGTTCTTCAGACGGCATTTGGAATACAGAATGCCAACATGTACGCCCTGGATGAAAAAATACTGTGACCCCGTCGAGCAGGTGGAAAGACGGGCGATAATACTGGTGTACGGTCTTAGGACTCTGTCATATCCAGAAAGGCTGATCTAGTTCAATTTGTTTCCCCCTATCCTACAGGCGAATGAGGTGCAACCTGCCGTGGGCATTCCGCGTTGTCTGCGGACACGATTGTTTACTTAAATCCGAAAATTTGTTTGAGGTTACTAAAACGAGTCACCTGCGCGGTTATCCGTACAAGGTTAAGCGGGGGCGTACACCCCACGGACCATCGGTAGTTTTCATTCAGTCAGCGTGTAGTTTGACCATGGAACTCACTCCTAAGTGAAACAGTGACGTATAACACCATGGTTGTATCCAAATGGCAATTGGATCTTTTGATTATTGATAAACCAAGACTGTCTGCGGCCAGCCATGAACTTGATTTCTCGATTTCATTCCCTACGTAGTGCATCCCTGCATGTTTGCTGTAAATTGTTCCCGCAAACTACACGAATGATGATATTTTCTGTTGACTGTATACATTTTCATTTATAATCTCATCTGGGACTTGGCCTGTATCCTTCAAAAACTGCGGGTGCTCCGGTCACAGCCTTGCGTTTTCGCATTATTCCTGTATATGTACATGTTGCTGACAGCATTTTGGTAACGTGTTTACTGGAAAATTAATGTCTACTGCTTTCCACAGGGTCATCAGGGTAGGGCCCATAACCCTAAATATACCACTATACTATACTAAAATCATCACAACAAGACCATCGACGAACCAATGACTCACTTTATTAGGGAAATGAGGCTTTCGTTCTTGGGTTCCGTATTTATGTTTGAAAATAGTTAAAGTGAGTTACGTACCTCATGAAGTCTAAAAACGGGATCTGATGAGAGATATTCTTAACGTCTTTAACGTTGATCATTTTGTTCGCTCATCCACTTCCTTCAATAAAATGCCCTTTTTCTTGTGCAGAAATTGTGTTTGCGTAATTATATCAAGTAAAACATCGGTAAATTTTAGCGAAAATGGACGTTGGAATATATTCGTGCAATTTCCTATGCTACTACATGTCCTAGACGCCAATTAAACATCTGAGCGACTTTTTCATTGAAAGGACAGTAATTTACTCGCGAGAGTTTTAGTAAATAGATTTATCCGAACCTGAAAATTTGTTCTATGTCCGAAGTTACCCATGGTGCTCAACCTGCTAACACGAAGATTATTTGAAGAAAATCAGGGGTTTTATCAATTTGTCAAATTAGCAGATCTGTGCGATTTGGTGCCCTGAAGTGCAATACTAACGCAGATAAGGATTCCTTCGTTTAAATGGCCGAAATTATTTTGCTGTTTGGGAAATTCTACCTGATGTCACATAAATGACCACCATCAAGTGGGCATTTCCAGCTTTCAACAATAATAATAGCAATAATAATTTTTCATTAAAGACCCGTCGGGGTCTCATCAAAGCAATTAAAATAAATTTACATGCGCATTTTTAAATGAGGTAGGCAGAATCTTTACAAAATGCAATTTATAGTTTCTTAATTAATAGTCCGTTAAGAAAATGATTAGCGAGGGGTGAGAAAAACTCCATAGAAAAATTTGAAAATGATTGGACTAATTTTACAGGAGGAAAATCCTTGATAAAAAGTAATAACAGAAAAATTCGGGCAAGACTGGTCTGTATGTGGCGGTATATAATTGATTATAATCAGACATCGTCAGGGCAGAAATAAGTGTCAGTTTTGATTATAATCGGACATCGTCAGGGCAGAAATAAATGTCAGCATTGAGGGGTACGTATGCGGGTCGGACAGGACTGGCCTGCATGTGGTATTGTATACGGGCTTCAGTACTGATATCGTTTGGGCCGGATTGATACGCCGGATGAGACTATTCACGTCAAAGAGGCCAGACGAGAGGAACCCAGACGCGATCGGCCACAGTACGTTTCCAGCCCAACCGAGGAGTGGGGGAGGTACGAGCAAACTACTAATAGATGGCAAATACTGAGGGTTCCGCCGTGAGTGTCGACAGACCTCATGAGGTCGAAATGCGGGAGATGACATCAAGAACCGCGACAATTGTCACTATGGGGGAGGAGTCATAGCAGTGGATTTATAAACCAATTCAAAACGGGTTTCTAATGATATAATTGAGGGTTAACACTTGATCTCTCTACGTAGGATTGGTTTTTAAACCGTGTACCAACTATTTCGCACGACGCTGTACTAGTTCAGGGCATTTTTGTTCTTTACAAGCCATGGCCGCCAAGCTTGTATGTCATATTCTAAATGGGGCCGAACGAAGGTGCCGTAAACTCTTCCAAAAATGTCTTTGTCGAAGGTTGTCAACGCCCTTTTGATTGCATGCAGCACTCCCATGGCGTTGTTTGCGGCCTTGTTGCACTGCACTGCTGCTTTCCTGCCGCTCTGTATCCAAATACCGAGATCCGGTTGGATACCAGTGTCGCAACGCTCTGATTCGCCAGAGCTTCCATAGTTTTGCATGAGAGGCAAGTTAAGCTAATAGGCCTGAAGCTGCTTCCTGCCATCCTGCTACCTCCCTTATACGATGGAACGAGGTTAGCTGTCTTCCACTGTGAGGGCAACCTTCCTCTTCTCCTTGACAGCTCAAAGAGAGTCGAAAGAGGCTTTGACAGCTCCCTTGATAGCTCCTTAAGTATCAGCCCGGGAATTCCGTCGGATCCAGGAGACTTATCAGGTTTTATTTGACTGTGCACTCGTCTGACTTCTTCCACGGAAAAGGCGACGGTTTTAATGACGGCAATATCTTGGCACATTTGAAGCTCCCGGCTGTCGCGGTCCATTTCAAACTGCTGATTGACTTCTGAGGACGCCTCCGTAAAAACCGATTTAGAAATCTGAGACAGTAATCGCACTTTCTGTGGCCCTTCAACTAATAAGTTTCCGAGGCTATCCTTTAGACACGCAATTTCGTCCCTATGTTTTCTCCTACTGCGGATGTACCCATAAAACTTCTTGGGACATGCAATGGATTCTCTTATCAGTCGGCGTTCAAAAGAAGTCCTAGCAACTAGTATTTGTTTGCGGCATTTATTGCACTGCTCCTCATATTCGACGAATGTTGTTGGATCTCGAAGATATAAGTATTTTTTCCACAGCCTTTGTTTCTTCTTTATGGTCTTTCTCATCATCGGAGTGACCTACGGCTGTTGCGCACGTGGTCTTGTCATTTTACTTGGACAATGGGATTAAATTAGACACTTTATAATCCCGCGAAAGTATTGTCAGAATTCTTCTGAATCTTCCATGTTGACTGACCAGAATTCCTTCAAAAGAGTTCGTCTCATTGCGTAAAAGTCACTGTTCCAAATATTTCTGCGCCTCTTGA